CGAGGAGGCTACGGCAGCGCGGTGAGGACATTAAGTCTGAGAGTGGCACAGACCTCTCGCAAAGCACGGGACCCCGTGCCGTGGACATCATGGTGGCAATGGGTCATGTTAATGCTGTGGAATGGCGATTCTGGGCCCGGGAAACAAGCACGGACTGGTGGGACCGCATAGCGCTGCAGGTCTGGGATGAATCACAGTGGCTGCGAAACTTTTGCATGCGTAAGGGAACTTTCCTGGAACTTTGTGAGTTGCTGTCCCCTGGCCTGAAGCGCAAGGACACCCGGATGCGAGCAGCCCTCACAGTTGAGAAGCGAGTGGCGCTAGCCCTGTGGAAGCTTGCAACGCCAGACAGCTACCGGTCAGTCGGGAACCACTTTGGCGTGGGCAAATCTACCGTGGGGGTTGCTGTGATGCAAGTAGCCAACGCAATCGTTGAGCTACTGCTCTCAAAGGTAGTGACCCTGGGAAATGTGCAGGTCATCATAGATGGCTTCGCCGCGATTGGATTCCCAAACTGCGGTGGGGCTATAGATGGAACTCACATCCCTATCCTGGGACCGGAGCACTAGACCAGCCAGTACATTAACCAAAAGTGCTACTTTTCAATGGTGCTGCAAGCACTGGTGGACCATAGGGGACGTTTTACCAACATCAACATCAGATGGCCGGGCAAGGTTCATGACGCTCGTGTTTTCAGGAACTCTGGTCTGTTTAGACGGCTGCAGGAAGGTATTTACTTCCCAGACCACAAAATAACTGTTGGGGATGTGGAGATGCCTATAGTGATCCTCGGGGACCCAGCCTACCCGCTAATGCCCTGGCTCATGAAGCCCTATACAGGCGCCCTGGACAGTGAAAAAGAACTCTTCAACTACTGGCGGAGCGAGTGCAGAATGGTGGTGGAATGTGCTTTTGGATGTCTCAAGGGGAGATGGAGAAGCTTACTGACTCGCTCTGATCTCAGCGAAACCAATATCCCCATTGTTATTGCAGCTTGCTGTGTGCTCCACAATCTCTGTGAGAGCAAGGGGGAGACGTTTATGGTGGGGTGGGAGGTTGAGGCACATCGCCTGGCTGCTGATTATGCCCAGCCAGACAGCCGGGCGATTAGAAGAGCCCAGCGGGACGCGCTGTGCATCCGGGAGGATTTGAAAGCTAGGTTCCACAGTGAGCAGGGTAACCTGTGACTATTAAGTTTGTTTAAAGAGAAGCTGAACCTGCCCCCGTTTCTTTACCCTCTTAATGTTGACTACACTCTCCAGTTACATACCCCCTTCACCCCATTGCCCCCCTTCCAACACACCTTTAAAAATAAAATAAATGGAACTTTGTTCATTAACACCGTTTTCTTTATTAAGGGTTTCGTGGTAAAGGGTTGAAACTGGGACGCAGACTGTGGTGGGGAGCGGGTGTAGTGATGGAAAGGACGCTTCTAAACTCCAGGAATGACAGGCTCCTGCTCCTAGAGTGGTCCGCAGTGGTGGACTGGTTGTTTCAATGGAGCCTGCCACCCCTCCTTTTCGGGACTCTGTGTGTGGGGGCTATGTGACTTTGTAGCGGGGGAGGACGGTTACAGATCCCCTGCTGCGTGGCTCTGTCATCCAGGCTAAGGACCGCTGCATAAGATCTGTAACCGCCCTCCCCCGCCACAAACTCACATAGCCCCCACACACAGAACATGAAAACCACCTCCCAGACTGACCAGGGTGCCTAGTGACTGCAATGTGTGTGTGACCTGCTGCTGAACCTGCCCCCGTGTCTGTACCCTGGTAAAGGTGACTGTCCTCTCCAATTACCAACCCCCTTTCCCCCCTTCAGACACAGTCTCCTCTAAAAGAACCTGACGGAAACAGTAATGAACAGAAACGTATTTTTTATTAACAACTACACAGTTAGGGGATGACACTGGGACGGGGGCTTGGATGAGGTGCTTTTGGAGTGAAGGAAAGGACTTATCAAAACTTTGGGAATGAGAGCCGTCTGGTACTTGAGCAGTCTGCAGGGGTGGAGTGACTGTTTTCAGAGATAGACTGCAGCGGGGCTCTGTCCTCCTGCCTCCGGTCCTGCAGAACATCTACAAGGCGCCGGAGCGTGTCCGTTTGCTCCCTCATTAGTCCAAGCAGCGTTTGAGTCGCCTGCTGGTCTTCCTGCCGCCACCTGTCCTCCCGTTTGCTGTGTGATCGCTGGTATTGCGACATGTTCTCCCTCCACTGGGTCTGCTGTGCTGCCTCGGCTCGGGAGCAGCCCATAAGTTTGGAGAACATCTCGTCCCATGTCCTTCTCTTTCGGCGCCTAATCTGCGCCAGCCTCTGGGAGGGGGATGCCGGGGTAGGTCGGGAGACACTCGCAGCTGTGGGATGGGAAAAAGGGAGTGAATTCCTCACAAAGATACAGTTTTGCGAACAATGAACATAGTCTTTCTCTGTGAACAAGACCATGCACAGCACCTATCACATGCGCACTCAGAAAAAGGTCGAATTTTCAGCCTTCCCATTCAGTGCCTGGGGTCTTGGAGTACAGATCACACAAGCGGGGCAGGACAGCGGAATTCGGGTAGCAGGCGGACATGGTAAGCCGTAGACTTTTGGCTGCTGAAAGCTTAATTTATAGCAGTGCCCTCCTTTCACGTTCCAAGCAATGCTCCTAGCGTTGGCCAGTTCCTGCTGCCGGCAATCCGGCCAGCATGAACTCTGCCCCTGTCCCACCCCCCTCGCGGCTGTCCCCGGGAAAGATCCCTGTATGCTGCCCCTGTCCCGCCTCCACCACGTGGCTGTAAACCGCCGGTTACAGTTATGTAAAGGAACAGGCAATCAGTCCCAATACTAACATTCCCCTAATTTAAAGCAGGTCACCATGAGTGATATCACTCTGATGAGGATTTCGGAGACAGAGAAAGACCGCATGCTGCGTGAATGCCAGCAAACACCAGGGCCGTATGCCACCATGCTTTGCGAGGCAGTGATCCCGGAGTACTTGCTGCTAGCCTGGTGCGGAAAAGTTTCCTACCATGGAGGACGCAATAAGGTCGCTCTGCCCAGGAACCTGATACAAAGGCTTTCACAATAGCTCCAGGAGAGCTTCGTGGAGATGTCCCAGGAGGATTTCTGCTCTATCCCCGGACATATTGACACAATTTTCCAGTAGCTGCACTGGCAAGGACTAAAAAGTAGAGTGCCTAGGGCAAAGTAATCATGCAAAACCGGACATTTTGAGATACTTTTGCAGTAGTTGCACTGGCAAGGATTAAAAAGTAAAGCGCATAGGGCAAAGTAATCATGAAAAACCCATTGTTAATATTCCATTCCTGTTCTGATCAAAATAAATGTTTACATATTTAAAACACTTACCGACTGATCCTTCCCCTGATTCAGGGTCAGGGTTAACGCCTTGGGAGGGTTGGTAAGGGATCTCCGTGAGGGTGATGAAGAGATCCTGGCTGTCGGGGAAATCAGCGTTGTATGCGCTGTCGACTGCCTCGTCCTCCTCATCTCCTTCCTCATCTTCCCCGTCCACGAACATCTCCGAGGAAGCGGCCGTCGACAATACCCCATCGTCAGAGTCCACGGTCAGTGGCAGGGTAGTGGTGGTGGCCGCACCTAGAATGGAATGCAGTGCCTCGTAGAAACGGCATGTCTGGGGCTGGGATCCGGAGCGTCCGTTTGCCGCTTTGGTCTTTGGGTAGCCTTGTCTCAGGTCCTTGATTTTCACGCGGCACTGCGTTGCATCCCGGCTGTATCCTCTCTCCGTCATGGCTTTGGAGATCTTCTCGTAGATCTTCGCATTCTGTTTTTTCGATCGCGGCTCCGAAAGCACGGACTCATCGCCCCACACAGCGATCAGATCCAAGACTTCCCGATCAGTCCATGCTGGGGCCCTCTTTCTATTCTGCGATTGCATGGTCACCTCTGCTGGAGAGCTCTGCATCGTTACCAGTGCTGCTGAGCTCGCCACGATGTCCAAACAGGAAATGAGATTCAAACTGGCCAGACAGGAAAAGGAATTCAAATTTTCCCGGGGCTTTTCCTGTGTGGCTGGTCAGAGCATCCGAGCTCGGACTGCTGTCCAGAGCGTCAACAGAGTGGTGCACTGTGGAATAGCTCCCGGAGGTATTAGCGTCGAATTCCATCCACACCTACCCTAATTCGACAGGGCCATGTCGAATTTAGCGCTACTCCCCTCGTCGGGGAGGAGTACAGAAATCGATTTAAAGAGACCTCTATGTCGAGCTAAATAGCTTCGTTGTGTGGACGGGTGCAGGGTTAATTCGATTTAACGCTGCTAAATTCGACATAACCTCCTAGTGTAGACCAGGCCTTAGACAATGGTATGCCTTAGACATATTCCTTTTATACAGATCTCTAGTGCTGCAATGTCGAGCTCTTCGCAAACATTCCACAAATCCCTATTCTTTGGATTCAGCATCCAGATTGGATGCACAATTTGGCAGGGCAATACTTCAATCTCCCTTTAATTATAGGATTCACCTTTATCTAAAGGGAGTACTGCTTGTCACACTGTCCCATGGGTAGGAATATGCAGAGGACATTTGAAGAAGAAACAGAGGTTAGTAAACCTGTAACCAGAATTCTTGAAGAAGTATTCTGCATATTTGCACTCGGAACCCACCCTCCTTCTTCCTTGGAGTCCTAAGTACAACCTGGGACTTGGAGGAGGCAGTGCAAGTCACGGAGGTGGGTGAAGCACCATGTCCCCTTTTATAGCCTTGTCCTCAGAAAATTCAGGAACAGTGAGGGCCGGGGTAGGAGAGGATGTGAGAGTTCCAACAGGCACTGCTACCTAAAGGTTCCACCATCACATCTGCACCAGGGGTGCCTCCCATAAGTGTGAATATGCAGAGTCCATTCCAAAGAACTCTGGTTACAGGTGAATAACTTCAGTTTCCCCTTAGCCCCTTGAAATGATTGGAGGAATTAGTACAATGCACTGTGTGCTTTATTTCTGTCTTGTAATTTACCTTGTGCTTTTCCCCCCCTTTGCAGCAGCACATCTGGCCCCACTGAGTTGTTTCAAAGCAGTGAATACTGAAGGTGACCGGTGTGGCAACTGCGGTGGGGATGGACTTACTTACAATAAATGTGAAGAGAAGTAAGTTATATATATATATTGATGTTTCTGATCCATTGGAAAATGTACTAAGAAACCACTGTAAATAAAACCCTCTTATTTTAAGAAGTAGTGTAGGGAAATAAATCATACACAAGTGAGAAGAGATGCAGAGCAGCCTTTTACCAGCAGTACAGTTTAAGCCTTTCATTTTCAGCTCCACTGTGTTTTGATAAGGCTTGATTTTTTTTAAAGGGAGTTCTACATATTCTTCTGTGCAGCCTAGGCTGTGGAAAACATTGTCCCAACTCTTGTGGTTTCATTCAGCTTCAGGAAGTGGGTACACAGTTGAAAAGATTAGCTGGTGGTCTACTCAGCTCTGCTGTTTTGTGTTGAACGACTTGTTGGCGACCAGATTACTTGCTTATAGATGTTGAATCTTAGATGTTGCTTGTTGCTGGACCTTGATGGTCAGCCAGGAGGGTGGTGGAAGCACAGGATTCTTTGTCAGACATGGTAACATTGCAAGACCAGAGGCCTTCAGTCAAGGGATACAGCAGCAACTATGGCAGCCGCCATTGCAGGCAAGCAACCCATAGTTTGTAGCCAACAAGCCAGCAGCAAGGCTTTTTCTTTTCCTTTAGTTTTTGAGGATGGTGGCTGGGTGGTTCCTCCCCCTAGGAATTCCTCCTGGGGACTCCCTTGGCAAATCAGAATGGGACCCTCTCATTCTGGGGTCACTGGCATCACCCAATGGGGATTGATTAGGATTTATTGAAACCAAGAACCTCCCCATTCTGGTACTTTCAGACTCAGAAAGTCCACTGATCAAGAAACTTATCCAGTTAGTAGGTCCAAAGGTATTTTGAGAAATTTGAAGTCAGGGATTAGTCCACAGACATTATCTCAAACATCCTAAAAAATCCCAAGTCAAATTAATAAAGTGATGCAAACAAGCAAAAAAGTTGAAATTGAAGTAATAGGAAAACACCACCGTAACGATGCTGCCTTTGGTGAGACACTTCTGAGAGTATTAATTCCGGAAAAATTGCTTAGAGCAGGGCTGTTACAGCCGTAGGCTGGGGTTTCTCCACTTTTAAGGCACACCAAACCAGACAGACAGAGAGGACTTTGGTTTTACCCCACTGGCTAACCATAAGTCATACAAGCAATTCCCTTAGACATTCCAGTTTCCCAGTATCACCACCAGTACCACTCATTATGGGGTCAAATGGTTATGAAAACCAATACCCCAGTAAAAGAAAAAAGGTCCTCCCGATCCCAAAGGACCAAGCCCCAGGCCCAGATCAATATACAAATTAGATCTTACCCAGAAATAATGCTGTTGCCAGTCCTTTAAAATCTAAAATCTAAAGGTTTACTCATAAAAGGAAAAAGATATAAATGAGAGCTAAAATTGGTTAAATGGAATGAATTAAATACAGTAATGGCAAAGTTCTTGGTTCAGGCTTGTAGCAGTGGTGGAATAAACTGCAGGTTCAAATTCAGTCTCTGGAGTACATCCACAGCTGGGATGGGTCATTCAGTCCTTTGTTCAGAGCTTCAGTTTATAGCAAGATTCCTCCAGAAGTTAGAAGCAGGATTGAAGACAAGATGGAGGGGTTTCTAGGGCCTTTTATACTTTCTGCATGTGGAAGGACACCCGTTTGTTCTTCTGTGGAAAATCACAGCAGCAAGATGGAGTCTGGAGTCACATGGGTAAGTCACATGTCCATGCATGACTCAGTTTGCAGGCAGACACCATTGTTTACATGTTCGTTTGAAAGTTTCCAGGAAAGCTCAGATGTGGATTGGCGTCTCCCAAAGTCCACTGTCAGTTAAGTGTTTCTTGATTGGGCACTTACTGAGAATAGTTCTTTCTCAAGAAGCTGACCAAATGCTTCACTGAGGCTATTTAGAATCAAACACATTGAGATACAAGTACATAGCCAATATTCATAACTTCAACTACAAAAATGGTACACACATATGTTACACTAATAAAATAATACCGACACGATCTTATAAGAGGGATGAGGCAAAAATGCCAGGTTTATTGTAAATATAGAGAAAGAGTGAGAAATCAGGATATGCAATTCAATATTATTTCACTACCATTCCTTATTCATTCACACACTCATTCATACAAGTTCTGCAGAGTTGTTATAATTACCAGCCTAGAGGTTGCTCATGGCAGAGCACTGGCCAGGTAGCCTGCACATGAGGGTGGAGCCAAGTCCTTGTCAGATGCGCATCCGATGCTCCTGGAGGGTGGTTGCAGAACCAGACTCAAAAGTTTTCAGTCTTTAGAGTCTGTTCTTGTAGGATTTTGTCCTTATACAAGTCTATGGGAATTGCTTCATCCTGCTGATGTTTGTTTGAGGTGGTTATCAATTAGCAGGTGGCATATCCCTGATGGCTGAATGTCTGAGTGTTATCTTGTTCTTCCGGAGTCTTCAGCCCTCCATCCGGGGGGGAAAGGGGGTGACACTTGGGTGGATTCCGGCCTGCCCTCCGGGGGTCATCCGGTTATCTCTAGTCTGCGCATTCTTCAGCCAATTGAGACTGAAGTTGTAATTCTTAGGCTGGCACTTCCCTGACCATTCATTCTTTATCTAAATCAAGTTATCCTTTATCTAAATCAAGCATCCATTCACATGCATCCTCTATTTTAACATACATTTATCACTTATTACTTTACTATTTCTTAACTTCTAGCAACTCTCAGGATGTTGCAAATCTACTTAAACTTTAACATACATAACAGACAAGTTAAAAGATACCTAGAGTCTGTGTTCTGTTTGGAAGAACAATTACAGTTGTTTCTGAGAACAGACTTTTTGTCTCAGGATGTGTTAACACAATTAGCAGTTTGGCCTTGCATGTTTCTCACAGAGAAGGAGAGACACAGAGACACAGAAATGGAAAAGCAAGAGGCCTAAGCTGTGGGGAATTCAATTGAATTCAATCTTACCCCTTGTCTCTCTTGGCCTCAGACTTGTTATACACATACACTTTATGGTTTTAATACAGAAATTCCCTGATATGGTCCAACACATATAGATAGCATAATTATAACCAGCAAATCAGAACCTCTTCTATAGACACCTCACAAGACAACCCTTGTACAATATTTGCTGCAGATATATAACAGTGGTTGCAACAATGATCTATGCGGTCACAGTTTGTCAGTAACTTCACAGCCACTTATACGTACATACAGGCATGCATATAGAGCACAGTTTCTTATTCTACAGAGCGATGCTTACAACTTCCCCATTATGTGTTGGTACTCAGTGTCTCAACTTTGAGTAGCATTTTGAAACACAAAATCTGACTGAAAAGTTAGATTTTAATTCACTGAGGCTACGTCCGCACTATGGGGGGGGTCGATTTAAGATACGCAAATTCGACGTATGGGAGCCGACTTACCACGCTGTGAGGACGGCGGCAAATCGACTTCCGCGGCTCCCCCGTCGACGGCGCCTACTCCTACCTCCACTGGTGGAGTAGAAGCATCAATTCGGGGATCGATTGTCACGTCCCGACGAGACGCGATAATTCGATCCCTGAGAGATCGATTTCTACCCGCTGATTCAGGCGGGTAGTGTAGACCTGCCCTCAGTAACAGATCTTTTCTTCCTAAAACATAATTTTGGGGGTTCCATTTTTATAGCGTGCTCTATCTGCCTCACGCATCTCATCCTCTGTTAATGGAGGCTGAATAGCTAATCCTGCCAAGTTTCCCAATAAATGTTAATAATTATTTTGTCTTCAGTCATTTTGGTGACTACGTCGCTTTAATTTGTTGCTTTCTATCGGATTAGTTTAGTTCAGTCAGGATGCTCCCCAGTGAAGTGTCCCTTTTACCTTTTCTCGCTCATTTAGAGCAGCACTAGATGGAGATGTGCCCCCCAAGCTGCAGTGTGTCTTGTCCGCTTATTTTTTACCTGGCAAGTAACATATGACCTATTTCACCTGCAGACTGAGTGGAATGTCCCTGCCGCATAGTCACTCTCTGACTTCAGTTTCTTCTAAACTGCCAGGAAGTTAGTGTTATAGTTACAGGACTAGCAGCTCCTTTTATCTATGGGATGGAAAGGTGGTTGTGTGCCAATTAATTTGATCCCTAAAATTACTCAAATTTATTTAGAGACGAGGTGGGTGAGGAATATATATTTTATTGGACCAACTTCTGTTTGTCAAAGAAACAATCTTTCAAAAAGAAAAGCTCTGTGTAGCTCAAAATTTGTCTCTTTCACCAATGGAAATTGGTCCAATAAAAGATATTATGTCACCCACCTTATCTCTCACATGTTCAGGGACCAATATGGCTACAACAACACTGCCAACAAAATAAAATTATTTAGTCTAGAGCAGGGGTGGGCAAACTATGGCCCATGGGCCACATACGGCCTGCCAGCCATTTTAATCCACCCCTCGAGCTTCCGCTGGGGAGCAGGGTCTGGGGCTTGCCCCACTCCAGTGCTCCAGCTGGGTAGCAGGGTCAGGGTCCACTCCATGTGGTTCCTGGAAACAGCGCTATGGCCCCCCTCCGGTGCTCCAGCCGGGGAGCAGGGTCGGAGGCCGCTCCATGCGGCTCACGGAAGCAGAAGCATGGCCCCCTCTGACTCCTACACATGCTGCCCCGGCCCCAAGCACCACGCCCGCAGCTCCCATTGGCCAGGAACCGCAGCGAATGGAAGCTGCATGGGCAGTGCCTGTGGATGGGACAGCATGCAAAGCCCGTGGCCGTGCCTCTGCATAGGAGACAGAGAAGGGACATGCCGCTGCTTCCAGGAGCCACTTGAGGTAAACGCCGCCCGGAGCCTGCACTCCCGAGCCTCTCCCTGCACCCCAAACCCTGCCCCAGCCCTGATCCCCATCCCACCCTCCAAACCCCTCGATCACAGCCTGGAAAACCCTCCTGCACCCCATCCCCAGCACCACCCCAGAGCCTGCACCCTCAGCCAGAGCACTCAACCCACCCCGCACTCCATCCCCCGCCCCAGCCCGGAGCCCCCTCCCGCACCCTGAACTTG